GGTGGGTGGAGGGGGTGGGGTGGGGGGGTGGGTGGGGTGGGGCGGGTGGGGTGGGTGGGGTGGGGTGGGGTGGAGGGGTGGGGCGGGTGGGGTGGTCGGTTTGGGGGGTCCGTGCCATGTGGGCGAAAAAACGCAGCTGGGATCGACTGGGCTAGGCCATTGAGGTGGATTGCAAGACCATGGCCGGGAGCCCAGGATGAGCTGATGGAGCGAGCTGCCGGAGCTTGGCATTTTTTTGAAAATGGGCATCTCCCAACTCGCATTGACGTTTGGTTCTACTAGTGGGGATGAAAAACTGCAGAGGTAGGCCACTGTACTTAGGCTATACCAGTAAAAAGAGAGGGGTATTCCGTGAGTGGTGCGAAATCTCTGTGTAAATCACTCACCTTTCTGTGAAAAAAACATAGGTAGTAGGCACCTATTGCAACGGCGAAGTTGGGTTGGCCCTCACCGGTGAGGCACCTCTCTTTATTGATGGGAACAACGGATTCCATAGAGATTGATAGGGAGGTTCCCCGTTAGCGGGGTTCACAGTACTTTTAGAGGGGAGCACCCCCTTTCATGGGATGGTTTATGAATCCGGGGTCCCGCAGCCGCACGGCAGTTGGACCGTTGGACGATGTTCGATGCCCCCTTCACAGCGAGAATGGTGTTTGAAAGGTTTCCTTTTGATAACCCCAGACCTCAGTGGCGCCATTTGCAATTCCTCTATTGTAATAAGTATCGACGTCCGTAATGGCTCCGCTTTGCAAGTGGCTAGTCGAGGTCGTCTCCCAAGCCCGCTCGGCCAACTTTGCAGGTGGTGGCTGCAGATAGCTGCGGGCGGGACAACTGGACGGAAGAGGCGGGGGAAGCGTCGCACGGTCTGGGAGAAGCGCATGGTAGACTTCCATTTTCCGAAAAGTATTTTTGTATATTCCTTTTTTGGTTTTGAACGGAATCCATCACTACTAGAACTATTCTTATTTTTGTCAAAGAGGCTTACACAAATGGAAGTCGATGCAGACTTTGGGCGACTTCGACTTCGACTTCCTCCGAGTGTGATCACATTTTTAGATCGGTTCGCTGTTGCGCCTTGAGCCTTTGGGAACCTTTTCGGTTGCAAGACGCCGATGCTCGGAGCCTCGTGGGGCGACCAGTTCGCGAGCGGATCCATCGCTCATGCTTGAGGCGCCCTCACGGCTCCTGGCTCCGCTCTCAGAGCCGGGATTCCAATAGGCAGAGACCGGGTCCAAACCTGGGTACGGGTCAAAATTAGACCACCAGGGGACCGCAGGATTTGGTCCACGTTTCCATTTACCAGGATTCCATTTTGGGTACATATTTTTGACCCACAGCCACCTCCCTTTTGGTTTCAACAGTTGAATCAAGGTCGGCTTTCATTTTCTGGGTTTGTCTTGAAAGAGGATTCGGACCCCCCAAAACGGTGGGTTTAAAGCCCGGGGAAAGGGGGTTCCAAGACACACCCCTCTGAAGGACAGTCTCCCACGAGCAGTCAATCAATTGGCTATGAGTCTTAGCGATTTGTATTGGGGACCCCATTGCAATGGCCATAAACGTCATAAACCCTAATATTCTCCCAAATGAAGGGTCCCCAACCTGCCCGTGTGTCTGCACAGATTCCCGACAAACCATCGCACATGGCCATTCCCAGCAGACGCCCACGACCCCAACCTATTTCAACACCTCTCGTCTTTGGTCCCGGAGCCAAAGCGCCAAACGCCTGGAATGCCGGTTTCTTCGGTTTCTTTCGACAAAGAGGGGGGCGACTGGCCGCAATTCGCGCAAGCCTGCCGCTTGGGGTGGGTCATCAGCCCATCGATTTTTCGGACAAGAGGATCAAAGCACCCGCAATGCGCTCGCTTAGCCGGAACCGGGAAGGGGCCACTATTGAGATACAGATATCTCGTCTGTGAGGTTCTGCTTAGCTCAATTCGGTTCCCGCTCCATGACACAGCTTGAATCTTCATCCTTTGGCGCTCTCCCCGAAATCCGTCATTTTGTGTATCGATCTAGCTTGGTCGACCAAATCCTTCTAATCCACTTGGTGACTTAGTGGATCCATTCAGTGTAGGTAGCCAAGGGCTTGCCCTTCACGCAAAGGAGCATGGCTGGTTACCTAGGCGCACCGGGGACCCACTGGGTCAGGTCAGCGATTTTGATCTCATGGCGCTTGCCCTTGGTGACCTGGGATCGATCCATTTGGCGGTGGTCAAAAATAAGGATACCCGAAAATGGGCTGCCCCGGCAAATAGAAATGTTACGCCTACCTGCGTAACCCTGGGTCTGTATTTTTGAGCCACACCCATTTACAGGTGAAATTTCAATCCCGGAGATGGAAATGTTTGGTTTGAGTCCTTGGCTCCCTTTAAGGGCAAGCCATTTTGGGGTTGCCACCTATTTTTGACGACAGCCATTTGGCCGTGGGTCAAAAGCAATGGTACCATTTTGGTTGGTAGGTGAATTCACCACCCATTTTAGAACCTATTTTCGTGGTTGGATTGGTTGATGTTCACTGGGGGCTAACCGGGGCTTCGACGACCAGTGAACATCAACCAATCCCCACTTAAACAGACTAAACTGGGTGGTGAATTCACCTACCAACCAAAATGGGATCCCAAAACGGTCTTGACGACCACAGCCATTTGGGTCGGGAGCCCGCAGTTGCCTTCGGCCGAAGGTCTGTGGTGGGCGGCGAGCGGTCGCCGCCGAGCGGCTAGCGGCGCTGCTTGCGGGCATTGCCGGGGGGCCGTGGTTGAAGGGTCCAATACGGTTTCATCCGGTTTCAGATTCGCGCTCCCCCAAACAAAAAAGGACCCCCCAAAGAAGAAGAAGAAGAAGAAGAAGAAGAAGAAGAAGAAGAAGAAGAAGAAGAAGAAGAAAGAAGCAAGAAGCAAGAAGCAAGAAGCAAGAAGCAAGAAGCAAGAAGCAAGAAGAAGCAAGAAACAATAACCAAAACAAGGACAAACAAAACAAAAACGGGAAGACTTCCCAACACAAATCCGGACCCTTTTTGTTCGGGTGTGTCCTGTTGTGAGTTGGTACCCGTTTCTTAAAGGGAAACCAAAGGGACGCCAAATCCTTATTTTGGGGTCTGAATCCAGAAAAAGACAACCCCATTCTCGTTGATTCAAAGGAGAGACGAAGCAATTCATATGCTGTTCATTGGGCCCGCCTTTTCCGTTTTTCGTTTTGCCGGTGGTTCTTGAGCGCCAAATGGTTTGAATGTGGGAGCAAGAAATCTTCCAAGGTAGCCTGATCTTTAAAGTCTGTCATGTTCATCCGAGCCACGGACGGGTGGACATGGGAAAATTGGCCGGCTGCCATGTTTTGCTATGGTAAGATAGGCTTTGGCCGTTCATGTCCGCCAAACATGCCCAAAGACTCATCTGATATTTGTGTTGTGCTGTTTCATGACTCGCTCTTCGGCCAGCGCCCGGATTTGGAAAAGCCACGGCCTTGGAGCTTCACTCCTTCCTTCTAGCTCAGGTCCTCAGGTCCCTGCCTCGAGACAGACCCATCGAACAGTTCTCAGCAAGGTTTCGGTACATTCCAAATGTGGAAAATGGGTCACTCCAAAGGGTACATCATTCCTCACTTTCCAGTTTTGTTGTTTGTTTCTTTGACTTTCCCTGCCACCCTTTTGAAATGGGGCCTGTGGTCAATTCAAAAGGAAGCTGGTCCTTGTCCAAACCAGGACCCAACAGTTCCACGTGTTTTTGGGCTGGGACGGCTCCCCGAACCCCGCGACCTTCTCGCCGCGCGCCTTGGCGCGCGTGGGCGCCAAGTCTCGGCGTGGCGTTTGAGGCGGAGAGGACGAAGGAGGCCGCGGAGGCGGCGAGATTGGCAGGCGGGCTGCGAAATGGCTTCCCCTTAAATGGGCTCCTGAAAAGATACATTTTGCCCAAATGAAACATGGCTTTTTTCACCCAAGTAAATGAACACCTCCATTTACAAGGCAATGTTCAGGTGTATAATGTAAGGATCCCTGCACTTAGCCTCCCAGCCATAAGTTTCCTTTTTGGTTGGTTTGGTTGAAAAAAAATAGAGGGCACTGGTTTGCCTGGCGGTTCAATCATCCACCAGGGCCATCTATTTTCCCAAAAAAAACACCTATGCTCCCAGCTTTTCTCGTTGGTGCGAGAGATGCAGGGAATATGGAATGACCCCCGAGATAAACTCTCCAACTGGCGGTTCCCTTTAAATGCTGCCAAGGCGGCACTGGCCCGATTGCGCTTGTTTGCGGGAGGAGGGATGCAAGACTTGGAGCCTGCCAGTTCGGCGCCGGTGCCCACAGGCCAGCTTGAAGCCATCGTTTGGTACTCAGTCGGGTTTGTCCAAGCCAGTTGTGGTTTGGACTTGAGACATGGTGGTCAAGAGTTCGGTCGCGTGGTACTGGAGATACCTGGTGGCCTGCGTAAACACCTTCTCTACCGCGTGTTTCGACTGGCGCCTCGTCTTTAGCTTGACACCACTGCCATCCCGGCTTGGTTTCACGAGTTTTGGAGGGCGCCCGGCCCACGCCTTCTTCCAGCTCCACAAAAGCTACTGAATGCGGCCCAGGGCCCGTTCCACATCCTTGCTGTTGAAGCAATCGTGGCCGCGCGCTGCAGCGTGGCCATGATGACCTGTTTAGGTGGGGTGACGACGTGAATCCCAACCAGCGCCGTCCGAATCCATTTGCTCCGAGACGGTGCCGGAGCAAGTAAGCAGACGCACCACTCCGGGGGGGCGGGCCAGCAAAACGGATCCATCAGCGGTTGGGATGCACATCCATGCCTCAACTGTCATTTTCGCCTGCGTGAAACCGCCAATTGCAACTCCTGAAGGGCAGATGCAGTGACCCCTGTTTTCGAAAAAAGTTCTCTCCCAAACACACTAGTCGCGTTTCCACCCTTCAAGGCCCAATTTGATGTCTGGGGAGCAGAGGTTCAGAAGGCCCCGTATGGATTTCGGCTTTGGCCCGAGCAAAGCAAGAAATATCGGTGATCCAACTCGGATCTCCGCACGCTCTACATCTTCGCAACACTCAGCGACTTCAGCGACTTCCTTTGCGTGGCATGGCGCCTTGGCGATGGCGTGGAGCGAGCAATGACGCCTATGGCGATGGCCTGCTTTCCTTTCAGGGACCAAATTTCGGGGTGAACTAGCAACAAAAGGACGAGCCGGGAAAAGCACTTGTTGGTTATTTTGTTGGACCTTTGGACCTTATTTTTTTGGGAAACAATGGATTTTCCATTGGACCCACACAAACATAAACTGTTTGCAGCGGGGTCAACAGCAAGAGAAGTTGCCAGGTTGTTTGAGTGGAATCTGGCCTTTGGTTTCTCCAGAAGGCCCATGTTTTAAACTCATGTCAGGTCCGTGTTTCAAGCACACGCATGGACCATGACCCGTCGCTGAGCTGTCATTTGAGTTTGCGTGCCATGTCATGCTCGCATTTTGCAGTTTCCTTTTAGACTCACTCAGCCCCCCCCCCCCATTGCCCCAACTTCCGGCCCCCAACTCTCCCCCAACCCCTCCCCACCCCCCAAAAAAATAACAGACACCATTTTCTTCCTGAGAACCGATCGCATCCACATGTTTGGCCGCTGAGGCGCTTCTACGGGCCCTGGCGCTGTTCGGCTTTGTAGCGTTGAGTCTTGGGGCGCCCGGGCGCATCCGGGGGCACCAGGTGGCAGTGGAGGAGGTCCAGGAGAGATTTTCATGTCGCCCGGTGTCCGTCGTTGATCGGTTCGTTCGGGCGGAATGAAATCGATGGGTTCCACGGAGTTGGATTGGTTTCATTACCCATTCACGCGAGAAACCCATCCATTTTACCAAAAGGACCTATGATCGGGGGGCCACCTCCTGATGTTTGGAATCGGACCACTTTTGGAAGGGAACACCAGATCAGCCATTTGGAGAGGTTTCTGCAAAAGAAAGCATGGGAGAACCCACCTTGAGAGGTGTCCAACATGTCCAACTGGGAAGGGTGTTTGAACAACAATGCACGTGAATCCCAAGAAAGCAGGATGGATTCCAGATAGATCTTGGGTCAACGTTAGTGGGTTGCTTCCTTGTTTCGACCTGTTTTTGGGCTTTGCGTAAACAGACATCAACTGCCAACCAAAGGGTGTTTTTCCTGCATGGCGACTGGGGGGCAGGGGTTTGTTCCGGAGGGTGCCTAGCAAGGGGTTAAATTCTTAAGATGTTAACTGCTTGTATGGTCATGCCTTGATTTGACTTTGAGGTACTCAACCACATTCAAATGGTTTGGGTCCTTGTAAGTTTATTTTTTGTGGTTGCAAAGAACCCTAATCAGAACCGGAATGTTTGCAAAGGGCTGAATCAAACATGTCACGGAGGGGTCGCCGTTTTGTGTTTGTTTTCGCCGCAGATGGCTGTGCCGCGGTACAATCTGGGGCAGTAGCAGTTTCTTGCGCTGACCCGCTGGTTCAGGAGTCGCTGCAAGAGACCATGCAGGCCATCCTGCGAGGCGGGTCCATGACGCAGCATTTGGAAGACATCGAGAGGAGCATTTGGCAGACCTACCAGTCACTGCCGAAGAACGAGGTGGGGCACATCGGGCCGCGGGCCATCAGATACTTGGTGCACAACTACTTTGCCAAGGAGCACGGGTGGCTCATCAAGGGCCTGGAACCCCATGGCCATCAACAGGAGGTGTCGGAAATCCACGAGGTCAGCATCTTGCAGGACAAGGCGCCCATGCTTGTGGAGTCCTTGCTGGAAGCTCAGAGGGCTGACCGCGGCTTGTCGCTCATGGACGCCGTTGCCATGGTGGCAACCTTGGAACGCCTCATCTTCGACGAGGCTCTGCTGCTCCTGCACGCGGCCTACAACCTGAACTCCGTTGAGACGCACCAAGCGCTGACCGAGCAGAGCTTGCACCAGGCGGGCCATGTGGACCTTGCGTTCGGCCCGGGGTGGGTCAAAGGGGTGAGGCATGGTGCAGCAGAGTACAGGCAGGCGCTTGGCCGACCGTTTTAAGGGGGCCCTTTCTGGAGATTCACCTGGCGAAAAGAGCTTGTCTTGGCAAGCACTCGTAACGATTCGGGGCACACCTTTCTGGGTGTTTAATTCGGGAGGCCTGTGCAGACCGTGAGGTACGGAGCAACTTTGATGACACGGTTTTCATGTTTCACAGTTTGATTGGAGCACCTTATCGACCAGAGGTGTCCTCTTTGGTTGTTTTGGTAGACAATAGATCGCGGCAATGCCTGATTGAAACTGCTTGTTTCATAATCTACCACGGCCACCCATGTTCCCAAAAGGACGCCTTTGTTAACAACCTCAATAGAGTGTGTGTGTGTGTGTGTGTGTGTGTGTCGTTTTTCAGGATTTGGACCCCACAAAATCATGGTTGTCCGCTTGGTTTCCCTTTAGAATCACCCAACGGGTGCCTGTGTCTTCCTTTACGGAACCCCAGAAACTCCCGGTTTTCCTTCAGGTTTCCCCTTAAAACCACCCAACGTTACGGTGCCTTTTCTTTGGGGGCCACAAAATCAGAAGTTTCCCAGAGCCCAGCCCACCCTTCCCACCCAGCCCACCCAGCCCACCCAGCCCACCCAGCCCACCCAGCCCACCCACCCCACCCAGCACCCAGCCCACCCAGCACCCAGCCCACCCAGCCCACCCACCCCACCCACCCCACCAAGAAATGACACGGGTACCAAGTCCAAAAAGGGTCGGAGCCAATGCCAGGTGCTGACCTCCTACCTGGTGCTCTTCGAGATGGGCCAAAAGGCCACCAAGTTCTGGGGGTTGGGGGGTTGGGGGGGCTCCCACGATCTTTGCAGGGAACGGTTGGCGGAGGGGCGACAATATGGATGGCTCGTCGTTTTTCGAGTTACCCTTTTTCGGGTTGGAATTAAACCGGAATATTTTGTGGGGGCTCCCCCTTGAAGGTCGGGGCGTCTCGGGTGTAGCATTTTCCTTGGTTCGATGGTTTGGTGGTTTTCCTTGGCTTGGTGGTTGCCGTTTAACCCGATTTTCCCGAAACAACATCCCCGAAAAGCGGGGGCTTTGGGTTGCCCAGCTGGGTCTTCTTTTTTGTTGTTTATTTAAAGGGGATTTTGAAAATTGGTTTGTCTCTTGGTTTCCTTTTAAACCAACCCAAAAGGAGGTCCCCACAAAAGACAACTGTTTGGTTGACGGCGTCGTGGTTTTGGGTGCCGCAACATTTTTTTGAGGCCAGCGCTCATAGTACGGGAATAGCGTAGCACTGTCGCCGGTGCCATGGTTTCTGTTTTCGTGCAGACAGGCAAGTTGAGCCACAAGGTAGAGAGTGTGGCTGCCGAGTCACCGCGCTCCAGTGCTTCGACTGAGCCAATGCACGAGGAAGTTGAGGAAATATGTTCTTGCAACGTGGTTGTGAGGAGCACCTTCATTGACTTTGATGATGAAAGCATGGCTCTCTCCTATAGGAAGCTCCGGCGGTGGGTGACGGATAGCGTTTTGGCAGGAGTCTTGGAGGTACCGGAAGTGTACGAGCCAGGCAAGTTCAGTGACCAGAAAGATGAACATGAAGCTCGAAGGCACCCTGCTGCCGAGGAGGGAACGCAGGAAGCTCAGGGTAAGGTTGTGGTCGAAGAGCCCAAGATCAAACCCAGAGATGCCCAACGAAATGTCCCCAAGCGTGCGACCGAGCGGACCACCATGATGCTGCGGAACTTGCCCAACAACTACACTCGCGAGGCGCTTCTCACTTTGCTGGACGAGCAAGGTCTAGCAGGTTTCTATGACTTTGTGTACCTGCCCTGCGACTTCCAGCGTGACGCCAACCTGGGCTACGCCTTTGTGAACATGGTGGATGGTGCTGCGGTGGATGCTGTTTGGAGGGCGCTGGACGGGTTCTCGAAATGGTCCATGCCGTCCAGCAAGGTCTGCCAAGTGGGCTGGAGTGGTCCCCACCAAGGATTCCAGGCCCACGTGGATCGGTACCGAAACAGCCCTGTGATGCACAAGAGCGTGCCCGAAAAGTACAAGCCGGTCATTTTCAAGGACGGCCAACGCAAACCCTTCCCTCGGCCAACCAAGAAGGTTAAAGTGCCTGGTGCCAACGCAAAGTGAGCGCTTAGGTAGGCGGCGAAGGCTTGCAAGCGGATGCTTCACAGCCACTTGCGGCACTTTTTGTGGAATTTTGAACCAGGAGTCTGGTTGCATCTTTATCTCCAGCCCGTGGCAATCCAGCTTCCCGAGAGGGACATGTACAGGCCACTGAAGGCAGTTGAATTTGTACAGGCAATCATGTGGTTGCATGTGAGCGCTGCAAAGGCAGCGGAGCATTTGTATAGCGCTCAAGGGTTCAGATGGCCGGCCAGTCAGTGCCGCCAAAAAGAACAAAGATGGTTGTGCTGGTTGTGCAGAATACTTGGTGTCTCAAAATCAGGGACCAATTCCTCTGAGTGGTTGGTTTGCTATGTTAAAGCACACACGGGTTCCTTTGAGATATTCAATCGTTTTGGGGATACCGAACGCGTCACTCAGCGGATCCATTTACCCGTATAGTAGCTAACCACGGGAAACACCCGTTAAAAACCAAGGACAATCGCTGGTTATCTACTACTTGGGTAACTGGGATCCACTGGGTCAGCTGGTTGGGTAGTTGAACCTTCTGTTCTTGCGCTGGGCAAGTGGGGTGTCCCACCCACAGCCAACGGGGAAGCTGAGAAAGGACGCCATTTTTGGACTGCCCAGATCCAACCATGTCCTTTTGCTGTCCGGGTCCACAGGATAAGCCCACTGCTCCAAACCAGGTCAAGAACCATCTTTTTTACATCCCCAGAAACTCGCCCAAACAAATCCATCCCCCCAAAACACATCAGGTTTGCAAAAGGTCACGGGCCTGCTGGGGGAAAACAAACAACAAATCTGAACATCCTCGGCACCACTTTCCGTTTTGATCAAAAGCACCGGCCGTTGGGGAAAATCATCCGACTCCTCGCGGCAATTTGTCAGGGTTTCATCGACGACCCTGTTGTCCAACCACAAGCCGGTTTGTTGGACCCCAAATCCAAAACGGTTATCTGGAAAACAGGTTGTTTGGGTCCATCAGGAAAACCGGTTAAAAACTGGAGGTCGAAAGCCCCCGCCCTTTCCAGTTGGCAAACCCCGCTTGAGGTAATAATAATAATAATTAAAAAAAAAAAAAAAAACGGCTTGGACACCTGGCCGTTGAAGTCCCTCGGATGATAAACATATTCGACGAAAGCCCGCTTGAAAGCGGTCGAAAGACTGGGAGATTTGCCGGCCTGTCTCGAGCGACCTGTCGTCTATTCGAAGGCCTCCCTGGAGAACAAGGAGCTGCACCGGGCCCTGAAGTCGCGGGCGGCCGCGGCGGGCTCCAACTGGCCGCTGCTCGTGGAGTTCGAAGAGGAGAGTCGAGGGAGTCGAAGAGGAAACGGCAAAGCCAGGTCTCGTCTTGGTTCTCGGCCCAACGGCTTCGGTTTTCCTGTGCGTTTTCCGTTTAAGCCAACCCATGGGTTATGGGTGCCATTGTTTTGGAGTTGGTACCCCTGTTTTGGTGCTTTTGAAGGGAAACCAAAAGGAGAACCGAAGCCACTTTCGGGGGTCCTCAAAGAATAATACGCAATATGGCTTTGTCTCAAAATGGACCCCCTTTGTGTTGGTAGTTAAAGGGAAACCAAAAGGACACTAAGCTGCTAGAGTGTGGCCCTAATTTTGAGAAACAGCCATATAGAAACCATGGCATCCTGAAGCGTTTTTCCCTATCTCTTGGACCCTTTGGCCGGACAACGGTTCGAGGATGCGGTCCGGAACTACGCCTTCGCCAGGACGGGGGGGCACGAAAGGGGTGGGGTGGGACCATGGGAGCCGCGTTTTTCAGACTGCGGTGCCCATAGGTGTCCTTTTTGGTGGTTTCGGTAGAAAGTAGATGGCGACTCCGATCGGTTAACCTGGCTGCAAGTCATCTGGGAAACTCGGAATCTATTTGCAACCAAAGGGACACCTTTGTTAACAACCTCAATATGGTGGGTTTGTGTTTTTTTTCAGGATTTGGACCCCACAAACTCGGTTGTCTGCTTGGTTTCCCTTTTAGTATGCACCGACAAGGGATGCCCCCCTTGAGTGGTGCCCGAAAAGGGCACCCGCGAGAACGACCTTGTTCTCGAGGCTCGAGGTCAAGCGGAGTTCTGGCGTTGCAGGTTGCAGCGGAACGGCTGGCATATATATATATATAATATTATATACACATACTAATCTATTGATGTATACATACATTCACATACACACAACGTGGATGTGTCTTAAAAAATGGACCCGCCCTCCCCGAAAAAGAGAGAAAGAGAAAAAGTGCTCTCACTTGAACCAAGCTGCAAAGAGGGTACTGACCCGGCGCCTTTTTTTGGTCTTTCGGGATCCCAGGTGCACGGAGTCAGGCGGCACGGGCAAGGACACGCCAATTTAGCGTAACTTACCGTGGCTGTTGTTGGCCTACTTGCCAATATTTAGGGCATCCATCGCATGTTCCTCAAGTGTGTGTTTTGCTGCGGTTCCCTTTATTCAAGTGCATTTGCAAGGCGGTTCTGTTTCTGGGACCCTTCATTTGAGCCTTGTTTTTGCCAACTCACAGATTGTTCCTTCCATTCCTTCGAAGGTGCAGGGGTGCGTACCTCTTCGCCCCTTTGCCTTTCCCAGTTCCCAGCCATCCGGTTCCTTAAAGCTTTTTGTTTTCAGTTGTTTTTAGTAGGTTGAGTCCATTGAGTGGAATCGGGTTTCCGATTCCCACTTCGTCACTTTGCGAGGGATCTGACAAACGGACAGCCCCTTCGAGAAGTTCTCGAGCCGCCGAAAATCGCCGGGCCGCTTCTCGAGGCGCCACGAGCGGAACCCCTTCGACCCGGAGACCTTCACCTTCGCGGAGGCCGAGCAGATCATCGAGGGCCTCACGCGGGGCTACGGCAAGTGGCAGAACACCGCGCCTCGAAGGGATGAAGCGGGTGATGATAGATGTGTAAATCGCTGGATGGGTGGGTGGGCGGATGGGTGGGTGGATGGATGGATGGATTGCTAGCTAGATGGATTGGCAAAGAAGTAGATAGACAGATAGACAGACAGATAGATGTTGCTAGATAGATGAATAGATAGATGCGGAAATGGGCAAGAACTGGATGGTTGATGTTCACCCGTGTGTTTAGTTTTTGCTCCACAGCTTTCTGCTTTGCCCAGAAATTGCATAATACCAAAAGTGGCCTTAAATCCAGGGGTGGTTGATTTCCCCAAAGGGGTTTAAGTCTACCCGAGCCAAAAAAGGGAGCCCTGCGCCCGCCCCATTTTGGCCAAGCCGAAGCTGAAGCTGAGGAGTGTCAGCAGATGAAGCAAGAGCTCATGGAGCTGGATGTGAAGGGTCTCCTGGCTTGGGGGCAAAGGCTTGCAGCTTGCGCTGGAGCCGTTCACGTCTTTTGTTTGAGATGGTACACTTGTAGATTGGTCAAGCAAAGACAAGCAGATGCCGAAGTGTTTGTCGGGCACTCAAGTTGCTGGCTTTGTTGCGTGCTCAGAGAGAGAGAGAGAGAGAGAGAGAGAGACACTGGAAAGGGCTTGTGCCCCTTGGGGACCCCACCGGCATGGCAGCCCTACAAAGCCTCATCGATCGTGTCACGTGAAACTGGCGACCTGGCCATGAGGCAGATGCGAGGTGATGGCTCTGTTATGCTTGATTCGCGGGGCATCCCGCATGATTTTGGGCTTGCTCCCCCCAAAACTGCCGCTCCGGCATTTCTTGGTGACCCACGACTGGTCTGCGGGTTGGCAGCCTCAGCAGCTTGCCTGGCCTTCTGCGCAGCCGCCCAGAGCTTCTTTCTCGTGAGGCATGGGCCGGGTGCCTCTGGCCAAGTTCTACTCCCAGCCGGAGAACGCGGAGTATCACTTCACGGAAACCCAGGTGCACCAAGGGAGTCTTTTTTCAGGTTACAATGAATTGGTGGTTTTTGGAGCCCGGTGGTAGGGATTTGGATTTGGATTTGAATGGGTCCCTGATTTTTGTACAGGGTGAATGGGGAACCACCCCTGAACCACCAAACCACCAAGCCAAAACACCAATCAGAGGGAAGCTGATTTTTTGTTCATACCGTAGAAGTCGGCCAAGTGGGGTTCATACTTCATACTCTACATGTGACTTACTTGTACGTTTTGATTGGGGAGAATAGCCACTTGCAAAATGGGGGAGGGACTTTCTCGTGGGAAACATCGTGGAGTTGTTTCTCTCACCCACTTCCGTATGTGAGGGGCTCAAACCTTGATGGGCACCATCCATATCAACTCCATGAGCCCCCAAAAGGAGTCTCTCAGCGTGGCGCTTTGGATTGGAGTTGGCATTTCGCTTGGGGTCAACCATGATTCCAGATGGACCTGTAGAGACTCCCAGGTAAGCAGCGTGTCCAAAGCGGGCCCCCTTATGGCAACCGACTTGTTTCAGGGGTCCGCTGTAGAAACCACGACCCGCTACGTCTTTGCAAGGCGAAGCTGGGGATTCATCAGACGTCTCCCTTTGGAGCCTGGTATTTTGTGTGTGCCAGGAGTACCTGAGGCAGGTGGGCGCGCTTGACGAGACCCGGGGCGAGGCGTATGTCCGCATCGCCAACTACATGACGGGCCCCTCCAACTGCATCGCCTCCTCCTCCTACTACTCGGTGTGCTGCCTGAACGAGTGCGAGGGCCTCATGAACGAGCTGGAGAGCAAGGCAAGCGGGCAAGGATTTCGGCGTGTACGTCTTATGGTTTTGGAACCCACCATGCTGGTGGAGTCCTTTCGGTTTTCCTTTCTTGTTGGCGCAGCTCTTTTGCCACGCTTGAGTCCTTGTAAAAAAGGGGCTACCCGGATAACGCATCGGGCTCCCCCCGGCACTTCTGTGCCGCTCCGCCGGCCGGGTTATTTACCGGCACGACCCAAAAACTACTTCCCCTTCTTGTACTTCTCCTCGTAGTATTTCTTCCTCATGAAGTCCATGGACCAGCCGCGCCCGGCATGGTCATGTTGAAACTGATTCCAACTTGTATTGCACTTCTTAAATGGCGGCCTGTGCAATGCTCCCGATGATGACGCACTGCCGCCCTCCTCCTCGACCTCCTCCTTTCCTCCCGGCTCCTTGCGAGCCTCCTCTCCACTTCCACCAGGCTCCTTGCGAGCCTCCTCTCCACTTCCAGCCGCACCATGACCCCCTCCGGAACCATGCTCCTGCCTTTTGACTTCCACCTCCACATCGTCAACGATCAGCTTCATCGAAGTTGGCTTCCGCCGCTCAAGCCCCTTTCTCTGCGACCAACTCCTGCTCCGCTGCTCATCGACCTCGTCGACCTCCTTTCTCGCAGGCTTCACCACCGAGTTGTCCCGACCAACTCCCGGCCCCACCCACAATTTCTTCATGACATTGCTGGCCGCCTTGGCCGTCCACTTTGCCACCACCGCAGCTCCGATCGCCATCAAGATACCTCCAATCACAATGATCACGTCGATCATCTCCACGCCCGAGATCTCCGCCTCGGCTCTAGCTCCTTCCGCCCTTGCCACAAGGCTTGCGCCTATCGCCATCATAATCCTAGCCTTAGTTTCACCTAGGTTGGGAGGGCAGCCCGATGGGCAGTGGTTCTTATCCAAAACAGCTGCGGTCCTTCGGCCATCCTCCGGGGTTGAGTCCGGTTCATCTGCCCTGGACTTCTTTGTGGGCGGTTCATCTTCCCTGCCCAATCTTCTCAGGCCTTTTTGCCTGGCTTCCTCCCCGTCAGGCCTTCCTACTGTCGCTGGTTCATCTCCCCTAGCGATCTTGCTTCCTACTGTCGCTGGTTCATCTCCCCTAGCGATCTTGATCTTTTTCTTGTGCCCTTCGGCGGCCCAGTGGCTCTTCTTGGATGCCCAATGGCCCTGTTTCACCATACCAAGCTCAACCAGAAAGCTACCAAAAGCCTGACCTAACAAAAGCTTGGTGAAACCATCAGCAACCAACTGTACACCCGGCATGTGCTCCAACACCCACTCACCCTCCTCCAAGGCCCACCTCAAAGCCGAAGCCCTGATACGAAGGTGTCGAGTCCTCCAATTCCCTGCTCCATTGGATGCCAGGCTGATCGCCGCCATGTTGTCCCCGTACATTCTCTTGTACTCCACTTTCTCGCCAGTGACGACCTCCGTGAGCGACACCAAGGCCCTGCCCACCGTCAGCGCCTCGCAGTATCCAATCAACTCACCCTCCGCCGTGCTCTGTGCAACAAAGGGCTGTCTCACCGACTCCCAGCAAATCGGAGCTCCCTCCACAAAGCCCACAATACCCTGCACACTTTTGTCCTCCCCGCCCGACGCGTAGGAGATGTCCGCAAAAACCTCCACCATGTTCACGCGCCTCTTCATGCCAAGGCCTTCTCTTGACGCCCATCCTCCAACCGGTCCATAGTTCAGGCCCCGATCAGTGGTTGCCTTGACATACCTCAACACGTCCTTGCCCAGGTTGACAACCTCCACACCCTTCCTTGTCCATCTCGACATTGCTGCGACCGCCACCGCAATGTCCGGTCTCGTCTTCGAAGCCAACCACAGCAAAGCGCCCGTGATAGCCTGAGCCTCTCTGATCTCGTCCGGGGTGCCATCCTTGCTGTCCTCATCCGGCAGCTTGTAGCTCAATGCCTCCATGCCCTCCTTGATGTCCCACTTGGCCACTAAGTCCTCCGCGAAGGCCTTCTGGTTCACTAAGTACCCATCATCCTTCTTGTAGACCTCAAAGCCGCAGAACCTCATGGGCACCTCAGCCGTTGCCCACTCCGCCGGGGACAACTTCCAATCTCCGTCCTCCATCCTTGCCTTGGCCGCTTCAATGATCTTGTCCTCGCCGGCGAGCATCACGTCATCCACATAGATGGACATCAGTCCTCGCACCACCCCGGTCTCTACCTCAATGATCCTCCATAGGTTCGGCTCCTCTGTCTCCAGGAATTTCATCCTCTTTCCATCTCCTTCCCACTCCATCTTGCGGATCTCGATGTCCCGGTGAACACTCCAGTCTCTAGGACTTGTAGTTAGTCCATAGACCGCCTTGTCGACGACCCACATCTCATCCCTTTGAGCGATGCCCAACTCCTTGAACACCGACGGGACCTCCATGACAATCGTCCTGCCATCATCTCTTCGCGGAGCATTGAGGAACGCCGTGCGGATGTCCGTACACAAAAGGCTCCATCCTCGTTGTCCCGCAGTTCTCAGCACCATCCGGATTTGCAACCCGTCTGCACCTCCCGCGTACAGCTTCTCCGCATCCTTGCCGGCTGAATAGTTGCCGCACACCACTCCTCTGACCTTCCGGCGCCCATCCGGCGCTTTCCTGGTACACACAGCCTTGGCCGGAAGAACTTCGACAGGGCCTTGGATCTGGTCGATGTCCCTCTTCCTGATCGGCTTAACCGCCTTGCTTTCCTCCACCAATGCCGTGTACTCTTTCTTCGCCGCCACCTTCCATTCTTCCAGTTCGCTCCTCACTTCGCCCATCGACACCGTCTTCGTCACGAGCCACTCCTCTTCTGCTTTCGCTGCGCCCTCGACCTGCATCCGGTTCAGTGCAGCTTCGATGTGGTTCCTCCGTTGAAGCCCTTCTCGTAGTACTCCAAGCCACATCTCTTGATCTTCTCCTTCTGCATCTAAAATCTCCAACTCTTCCTTGACCCATTGAGTGACATGTTGGTGCCGTTTTTCGAAGTGGGCCTGGTCCTCTACCTTCTCCCCCTCGACGATCATCGTCGACATAGCTGTTTTTTCCCGCAGTCGCCTCCTTGGCCTTTCCGCTCTCGGCATCAAAAGGTCCGCACCTACTCGTTCCTCAAGTACCACTTCCTCCCCCGGGTCGATGATCACCTCCTCGGGCTCCCTGATCGCATCCGTGGTGGCGAAATGCCGTCCATCCTCACAGCTCCTCACCCAATAGCCACCTGATGTTGTTGACATCACTGCATCTGGGCCCATGATCTTGACCCGTTCGCGGTCAAACCTCCAGTCCTGACCTCTTTCATTCCAACTCTTCTTCTTCACGTAGGCGATCGTCCCCCACGGCAGCATTTCCTTCACCGGCAGACCCACCGCGTGCAATTGCCTCCGTAGGCGTCGCTCTCCAGCATGCCTCAACGCCATCGGCCACAAGGTAGCTGGTTCTCCGCTCGCCTTCAGCAATGTTCTCGTCGCCCTTTTTAGAACCCCGATCTCTGCCTCCACCCGTCCGTTCTCCTTGAAGGCGTCCCCCGGGACCGTGGTCTTCACGATGTTCCGGTCCTGAGCCCAGCGTTTCAGCTGCACTCCCATCAGTTCTCGAGCTCGGTCCGTGTGCAACCTATAGACCGGCAGACCCATCTCCCTGAGCCTCGCATAGATCCGCGCGATCGCCGGGATGACATCCGACGCCTGTCTTGATGTGATCGGCTCCACAAACGTCAGGTTGGTGACCCCCACATCCTGCATCTCTTCTACCTTCTTCTCCCAGATGTCCCCCGCCTGGATCTCATTCCTGACCTCTTCCTCGGGCATCTGCTCTCCTTCTTCCTTTTCTTCCAGCATATCAACTTCCACTTCTTCCACATCTCCGGCTTCCGGTTCCGCTTCTTCTTGAGGTTCAGCAAGCAGAGATCTTCCTTCTCCATTCACCGGATAGGTGTACACCGCTGCCACGAAGTACTTCGCCTGGCATCTCTGATCTTTCCCAGCCGCCAGTTTTCCCGACAGATCCACCGCCAAGGTGTACGCCTGTGGATGTTGAACTCTCCGATGTGCTCGGCCTCTTCCTTGGCTTTCCACACAGACCCGACAATCTCGCCGTGCTGGTTGATGATCACACGCGAAATGCCTTTTCCACTGCTCCATTGCTGCAGCGCTTAGAGGCCGAAGAGCTCGAACCACACCCAGCCCTTCTTTCTCATGATTCTGCAGCGCCTCCTTGAACACTTGCACCAACCCCGGCGCCCATGCTGACCACCTCTTGGTCTGAGTGATCCGCTCCTGCAGGTTCTCCGACCATGCTTCTCCGCCTTGACCGGGTCCTGTAACCTCCCCCAGTCCCCGCATCTGCTCCAGGTTGGTGGCTATGGTCGTCGGCTTTCTCCGTTCATGCCCTAGCGGTCCTTGATCAAAGTGGATCATCTCCATCTCGTACCGCTTGGCAAATGCCTCCCACGCCCGGAATCGCCAGATGCTGACCAGGTGTTCCCTCGGGATGTCCACCCTGTAGTCCCCAGGATCCCGAGGCTGTTCTTGCCCATACGCCACCGCAGGGAGTTTCCGTCTCCTCGCAGTCTCCTCCGCCACGACGTACAACGTCATCATTCTCAACCAGAGCACTGAGTCCCCTTCCACCATTTCCTTCTCCGAGTTCGTGAGGTTTGAGAAGCCATAGGGATACTCCTCACTCCTCACCGGTCTAGGTCCTGGCGATCTTGATCTGCAGGCCGACACCGTGCGACAAGGCGGACCGCCTATCACACTGACCACAGCTCCACTTTTTGCCAAGGCAATGAGGTAGCCGTAGACATCGTCGTTGAGCAAATCCTGCCCGGGGTTGTTCACCTTATCCAGGCAGATCATGACCGTTCCACTCTTCTCCATGTCCATCCACTTCTTCTCCGTGCCCGAAAAGAGATGCAGGTGGATCCTCTCTGCTCTCTCAATGGTTCTCCTCCTCCGCCTGTTCCACGGCAGCTTCATTACGTCGTACTCCTGTGTGACCACCAACTTCGCCAACAACCTGTCCGGGACGTCCACGAAGAACTCCTTCAACGCCTTGAGCATGGCCTCCTCATAGATCAAGCTCTTGGTCGGCTCCACCTGGCCCTTCAGCATCGCCAGTTTCCAATTGAGCTCTGCTTTCTTCTGCTCCATTTGCTCGATCATTTCCAAGGCCACTCCTTCTTCCACCATAGGACATCCTGCGATCATCGTGACCTCCACCGGTTTGCCCTTGTAGGTCACCTTGCACACGCCGTTGGCCCATGTCACTATGTAACCCACCTCCGTCATCGCTCCCATGGGCACAATGACCTGCGTGCCCTTCTCTGCCAGCAGCGTCAATGTTCCCGGCTTGCTCCGCATTCTTGTGCTCGAACCATCCGCCAAGTGCACCTCCACGATCTCGGCCTGGTTCCATTCTGCCTGGTTTTTTCCAGGCCTGAGTGCATGTGTTGCTCCTCCATCAAGGAGGCCCATGCCGAGACTTTCCTTGCTCATCTGGTTCATCACGATCACCGCATTCATCGACGGCAACCTCAGCGATCGAAGGAGACTGGTCGCCTCGGCTAGCAACTCCCCCGTTCCGCTGCCCGCTCCACCGGCCATAGTTCCACCACCTGTAGTAGCCGCCGTTGCCGATGTAGCATCCTTTTCCACCATGTTGCTGGCTTCTCCACCACCTTGAAACTGCGATTTTTCACCGCCTGTACCACCACCTGTACCTTCACCTCCCCCCGAGCTGCCGCCCAGCTCGCACTTCGCTACCTTTGCCGCCGGCTTCGGCGTTGGTCGGCTCCCCCCATACAGGTTCCCCGGCTTCACAGTGCAGTCTGCCTTCCTGTGGGTCTTCGCACCGCAGGTCCAGCATCGCGCCGCCTTATCTGTGACACCTTCCCAGTCGTGGGGCCATTTGCAACTCCGGCCAGCTCTGCAACCATTCTCCGAGATGAAGTACCTGCAGTTGTTCACCTCCTTCTTGGCGGGTCCAGCTCCGTGTTGATGACTGCCGGCATGCTCCTTCCCGCCACTCATCGCCTTCACCTTGGCTACAACTCCTTCGCTGGTCATCAGCTTTGCCGTGTCCATTTCCGCCAGGAGCAACTCGGAGTAGCTCCAGATCCCCAGCGATGTCGGGGCTGTGTCCAGTCCCAACTGAGATCTCGCCTGGGCTACCCTGAACGCCTGCGTTCCACCTTTGTTCACAAGCTGAACCACCCGCTCCAAAGCCACCGCCAGCAAAGTTGGATCCGGAAGCGTAGCTCCAATTTCCTGCGCCCGCAGGTAGTACCTCCGCCATTCCCTCAGTGATGAGGCCGCTTCCGTATAGTTCCTCAGGTTGCCCAGGTCCGTGAGCTTCTTCAGGATCAAAGCTCGTTCTCCTGGTCCTCCTGGCTGATAGGTCACCAGCAACCGGTACAGCACCCCGGTCGATGTGATTTCCCGCGCGGAGATCAACTCTTTGCGGATCTCCTCCGGCACCGCCTTCAGCAGAAGCGTGACCCCCCGCTGTTCTGTCCTGACAAACCGCGGGGTCTTTAGCCTTTCCGGGATGTCCACCGTGATCTTGAGCCTCTCCAGCGGGGTTGACTTCAACCAGACCTCGTAGAGCTGCTTCGCCTGGCCCATTGTTCCGGTCCACCATTCCGCCGCTCCCTGGGACAGATCACTCATCTGCGGCCCAACCTGTGCCAGCCAGTCTCCAAGGGTCAACGGGGAATGGTCATAGATCAACTCCGTCAACTCCACCTTGCCACCAGCACCTCCTGACTCCACTTGCTCAACCACGGCCTTCACATCCTCCTTGTTTTCCCAGTCATTCCAGCTCTTCCATGCCTCCCAGCTTTGAGAGTATGGATGGGATTCCCACCCTGTTTCCCCCCAGTGATCATCCCACGGCTCCGACCACTGGATTTGCCACCCACGATCATCTTCGCGTTCGCCACGCGGCGGATCGCCTTCAGGTAGCGCTGTTCCTCCCGGTGTCCTTTTTGTACCTCTCAACGGCGACCTTGGTGGGGACCTTGATCTCCGTCTCGGTGTCCCTTCCCTTGGGGGTGGAGGCGGCGGTGGCGGCACTTCTGGCGGCACAACCATCAAATGATGAGATTCCATCGGCGTTTCAAACACCTCCATCTTCTCGGCAGGCGTCACAAACCTCTCCGCTTCCTTCTCATCACATCTGGCCTTCCAGAACTCTGCCTCCAACTGCCACTTTCTCTCCTTCGCCCTCAGGTCCTTGATCGTGTCGAAGAGGTACTTCCTCTGCTGCTCCATTCCGCGAATCTTCCTGCACGCCTTCATGAAGTTCTTCTCCATCTCTTCCGCGAGGTCCATGTCTCCGATCAGCTCGTCATCATCATCTCGTTGAGCTCTTTCAGGGACCCACACCTTGTGCTCGTCGTTCCAAAGCCAGTCCAGATCCAGCCGGGTTAGATTCTTCGATGCCCCCATTGCTACCTGCGAGCTCTGGCCAGGGAGCACCCCTTTGTTGCCCGTCCTTTTGCATGCCGCCTCCCACAGCCGCTGATCTCTGAGGCTTTGTTCCTCCATAAGATCATCTGGTTGATCTTCACCTGCATGTGGTCCTCGCCCACCATGTAGTAGATCTCCTTTTCCTCCTTGCCGAAGAGCTCGTGGATCTTGTCTCCCAACTCCGCCTTCCGCCCAACCTGGACCGCGTAGTTCGGCTTCACGTTCCACAGGTCTCCCTCGCATCATTCCAGGCCTTCCGATTCCTTTCCCCGGTGGCCCTTGCCCTTCACCCGGCCTTAGGTCACCATGATGCGGTGGCTCTCTTCCATTCCCATGTAGTAGAGCTCCATCTCCGCCTTGTTCCTGCCCATTACCTGGACGTCGACCTTCCTCCTGCAGACCATGCTCATCGCCGTTGGCCATTCCGGCATTTTCCGCATTCTCCAGGTCCGCTGTCAGGTCCCTCCTTATCTCGCTCCAGAACTCTTCTGTTCTCGTCCTACTGCCAGCAGCATCTGGGTGGCCACCAACTCCATCTTGCCCGGGAAGATCTCCCTCAGGAGCGCCACCGGCACCTCCCCAAGCGTCCATCTCCGTCTCGACCTTCTGGGGGCTCACGGTGTCCGGGACCTTGGGCAAACCATCGGGCCTCATTGCTCGCAGCCTTGCGGCCTCCACCGCCCGTGAACTCCAGAAAGGATTTACATCCACCACCTGCCGCTGACCTCGCTCTTGCTGCGGTTCTCCACTTCGTTCTTCTTCATGAAGAGGTAGGTCACCGTCGGCTTCCGCCACCATGGTACCCTCCATGGTCACCGCATCCACCGACCTCGCCCTTCGCCTCCGCATCCCAGCGTCCATGGCTACCGAGCGATCAACATGTTGGGCTCATAACCCTTGTTGGCGCAGCTCTTTTGCCACGCTTGAGTCCTTGTAAAAAAGGGGCTACCCGGATAACGCATCGGGCCTTTAAACCCATCAATAAGAAAGGGGTGCCAACTCAAAAGCAGACGAGCCCAAGAAAAAGATGCGGCCATCTCATGTTCAACGGGGTTGGGGCGGGGAGGGGGGAGGATATCTAATGAACTTCTTCTCCGAGCCCATGTTTCGGATTCCTCAACTCACGCATTTTATGTGTCAAATGCTGGTATGGGTATGGGTCAAAATTAAACCACCAGGGGACTGCAGGTTTTAGCCCTTGGTTCCATTTACCACAGGTCCATTTCACCTATTTTTGACCCACAGCCATATGACTCCCAACATGGAATCTGTTCTCCTAGTGGTTTCCCTTTAGTCCAAGCACGGTGAAGAGCGTATCCCCCAAGACCACACTTCAACTCCTTGCCTCTACCTCGCTAAGTTTAATGGTTGGAACATCCTCCAACCGAATTGTTATGTCCACTTCGGGTCCAGCAAAAGAACATCCACGCCCATTTGTCAAAAACTTCAAACAAAAAGGGGGCGGTTTTGTTGGAACATGTAACCCAGTAGACTGATCAACTTTTGAAGGGCTCAATCCGAAGCCTTCCGCTCGACCCGGAGATCCTGGCGCCCGCGGCGAGCGTGGAGCGGCTGCTGGGCCTGGTGGCCAACATGTCCTCGGCCACCGTGGACGCGCCCCGAAGCCTGCCGCGGCACCTGGCGGAGAGGCGGGCAACGGCGGGTTTCGGGGGGGGGGTCCCGAAAAACACCTAGGGTTTTGGCGGGGCACTTTTCCGGGAGAAAAACAAATCCCCAGTCTGTCTGGGCTGTTCAAAGGTAATCCCTAGTCCTTACCTTCGGTTACGCAAGGGGTCCCTTTTGTAGTGGCTCCTCTAAATTGATTAGGATTGGCGGCCAACCCTCCATTTTCAACAGCCCAGTCTGTTGTTAGACATGTTGGACCCGAAACAACAACCACACCTGCAGCCCTGGGTAAACTTTGAGCCAGGCTGCAGACCATCGCAGAGCGGCACGAGGGCGAGGCCAGATGCCTCGGGCCGGTCGCCGTGGGTGTTTTTCCTGTTCTGGGAGTGGGGAAGTGGGGCAGCGCAAAAAATTATCAGGCCATGGTCGTCAAGGGGAGTTGTTGTGGGGGGGTTTACAGAGGTCAACCGGAAGCCGGTTTCTTGGGACCCAAAAGCCACGAGATGTCTGAAGGCGAGTGTCTTGAATTTTCGACAAGGCAAAAGAAAACCACGGGCGAACATTCGAGCCACTTGGTGGCTTTTGTGGGCAACTCACGGGTTTTTCTCAAGCCATTTCGAGCTATGGCCAAGCTTTGGGATCTGGAGATGGACTTCTTCTTTCATCAGCTGATTTGGGGACGGGCGAGGGCGTGGGCGTGTGGGCTGTCCGAAACCCTCAAACATTTCGCATCTGAGGAGGCAGAGTGGGGCTGGGCTCCCCGAACCACTCTTGCGCCCCTTCGAGGATGCATCCGAAACACCTGCTTTGGGAGTTGGATCTTCTAAATCAGCTGTGCTTTTGACTGTCCCAGCTGTTTGCTTGGCTCTTTCGAGGCTTCCCTGTTCTTCTTTGCTGTTTGGGACGCCTTTGATTTTGTGTCCAAACAAAACTTGGGTGCGTCTTTTTTGGGGGGACCCACTAAAACGACACAACGGTTTTCCTTTTGGTTTCTATCCCAAACCAAACGAAAAGGGGTACCCCCCCGAAAACGACGACACGCGCCATGCTATGTCGATTCCGTCTACCTGGACCCTCGAAATTCCAACTTGAAAACGGGTTCTAGCAACCCAAAACTCTGGTGGGTGACTCCAACTTTTCTTTTGTGCATATTGCTTGGATGTTAGGACTTTAACTTTTTGCCAACCGAGTTTTGTATGGGTGGAACGAGGGCCCAGGCAGCTCTCCGTAGCTCTCCGAGTCCGAGGTGCCGCTGCACGGGCGGCTCTTCGCCCAGTGGCTGCATCACGCCTTCCCCAATGAGTGCCCCTTCCCCCACATCACGGAGGCGGCGGTGCTGGCGCCCGGCCACTGGATGGACAAGAAGGCGGGGGCCGACTCCCGGCGCCGGGCGCTGAAGAAAAAACAATTCATGTGGGAAGGGGACCTCTTCACTGCGGTTGGATCAAGTGGTTGGTTGTTGTTTTTTGGGGTGGTTGGGGTCTGTTCATTTTTGGGGGGGCTGCCAGAAACAGTCAGTTTGGCTACCATGTCAAGGGTCAAGTGGTTTACCCTCCCACCAAATAATATGGAACCTGGCGTTTCGGGGCCTTGAAGACCATGATCCATCTTTAAAGGGACCGGGTCGTGAGGTTCCATGTCGATTGGTGGGAGGGTGGTTGTTTTTTGGTTGTTTGGTTCTGTTCATTCTTAGGTACATTTTGTTTTTCTGCCATACCCAGGTTGAACAGGTGTTTGAACATGGAAAAACTGGGTGCCAATTTGCTGGATAGTCTAAACAAAGTCCTCCAGATGATGGTGGACTCCCTTTTTCCCACTGCGGATTACGTATTAGGAATGGGGGTTCGTCGCATGCTCGCCCGGCGCAACCAACGGATTGATGCCTACGGCAGGAAAACCGTCCCACTGAAAACAGATCAATCTGACACACCTATTGCCAAGACTCGGGTGCCTTCTTGCCAAAGTGGAACCGCCTACTGAAACGTGGTGCATGCGAACGCTTGCTCGCAACCAGTTCAGATAGGGGGGGCCTCCCAAGCTGGTGTTTCTCTCTTGTTTCCCCTTGAAAAGGGCGCCCACAAAACACGCACACGCAGGATTTCCTGGAAAACTACAGGGGGGTTCTCCGACCAGCCAAACAAGCCCGTTCAGTTGGTGCTTTTCGGGTCCCGGCTCCAAGGCGGTGGTCTCCAAAACCGAGAGGGAGGAGCTGGCCGGTGTGCTCACCACCTTTGCGGAGGACGAGGCATCGAAGTGGGTCTCGCTCCCTTCGGGCCCCTTTTAGGGGGCCACTAAGACGCGTCCCTACCCCCTACTCCAAATACCCGCTTTTTTTTTAGGGCATTGTTTTGGAAAACCTGGTTTTCCATGGTAAATACCTCCTTTTTTAGTAGAGGTCGACATGATACCACTAAAAAATAGTGGGTATTGGGTGTAAGGGGTACCCGTTTTAAAGAGAAAGCCAAAACGACACCCACTTTCTGAGTTCCTGGACTGCTTTTGTTTGGGGGGTTTGGGCCTTTTTTAAAATTTGGGGCACTCAATCTCTGTCAGTTAGACACCCAAAAGTGGGTGCCTCATTTTGAAAAGTACCCGTTCTTTTCAGTGTGCCTGTCCTACATTGGGGTCCGAACTTCGACTGGATCCCGAGGGAATATTTTAAAAGGTTCACAACATTTTGTTTCGGTTACTGTGGCTTCCTTGCAATCACCATTTAGAGGGTAATATTTGAGTAGGTCACTTTGGACACGTCCCAGGTATCCACAAAATGTTTGGCCAGTTGAGCCACCCCTCCTGCCTGGGTTCCCGGGGCTCTCGCGCTCAATACTCAGGTTGTGAACCAGACGGCGCTGGCCTGGTCGGAGGACGAAGTGCTGGCGGCATACGACCCGAAGGTGGCGTCCACCAACTGCCCCCTGGCGAAGCGCCGCGATCCGGTTTTGGGCGTCATGGGCTCCTTGAACCCCAAAGCCGCAAAGGGAGCTTTGGCCAGTTGCTCGGCAGGAAGATTTTATGAATCCATTTGCTGGTGGACCCCCCCACCACCTCCAACCAACCCTTCCCAGGCCCAGAGACCTGAAAGAGCGCGCTTGGTGCGGTGACGTGGCTCTCGTTCTCAACAACACCAAAGGGCCAACGACAAACCAACCCAGGGGGTCGACAGGTTCAGAGCTCCTTCACGTGTCAACAACAAAAATAGACCCAAGTGGTCAAACACATCCCCTGCCCTGCACGGGTCCGATCGCTTGCACACGACAATCTTGTGGTTTTTCGCATCCGAGAATCAATTTGTTGGAACCTTACATAGCTGTGGTGTCCTCCAAAAGCATTCGACATGACCCGAATTCAGAAACTAGGATTTTCCGTGTACTGATGTGGGCCAAGGGTCACCCTTCGATACCCGAAATTGTAAAATGGTGAGTGCCTGAAATCCTATCGAAGCCCCAATTCAGGTAACCCCACATTGGTGAAAACCTTCCTGAACTTCCAAACCGCTAACCGAAGCCACCAACCAGTTGGGAAGGGGGCTATTTCCCCTACTTCAAGATACAAGGGGCACAAGGAAACCTGAAGAAAAAGGGTCGGGGAAAAGGGAACGCTGGTTCAATGGTAGCCCAGTTGAGTCGCAATCAAAATCCGGGTAAGTGAAGGAGAGTAAGGGACAATCCCAACCAGAAATGGCTGCGGATCTCCGCCCTCATAATTCTTTCCCTGGTTAAAATGGTCGACCATTTGAATAAAACACTAAAAACGGGTTTTGAGCTAGTGACTCAGTTGCCAATCCGAAGCAAAAAACTGAAAGAAGCTGAGAGTGAGATGAGGGGTGCGGGTGGCCATGCAGCTGGCGCTGCTGCTGGGCCTGCTGCGCACTGCGCTGGGTGCCTGGGCGGCGTTTGGGGCTGGCGAAAGTGGCGAAAGGGGGGGTTTGTGGGGGGGGGGGGCAAATAAGCAGGGGTTATTCAAGGACCAATTTCAATTGGTGGTTTGGATTATTTGAACCCCTGCTTCTTGTACGTAAATGGGAGCCCCCCTCAATGGTGTATCTTTTTCCAACCTGTCGTGCCAGCAAAATGACACGGTCTACACAAGCTTCGGGTTTCGCCACTTTCAGATGCCTTCTGCGGCTTGCCAAACATCGCTGGTGTGTTGCTTGAGCGGAAGCCACGTGAGGTGTCAGGGAGAGAAGGCCGCTTGAATCGCCTTTCCTTCTGCTTCCTTCTGCTGCGATTGTGCTGGAACTTCTTAGCCTTCTTCTGCAATAGACAGTTGTCATTCGCGGTCTATTAAATGTCGGTACATATTTCCGCCCGCAGTTTCTCTTTTGGAAGCTCGAACACATCCAGAACAACTTTTCTGCGCCATGAAGGTGGATGTTCACTTGCCCAGTGGAGATGGCTACTCCGTAGACGTCTCACCGGAGACGTCCGTCAGCGAGCTGAAGGCTGCAGCGCAGCAGCATTTCCGGCGCCGCTTGCAGCTCAGTGCGAAAGGCCAGCAGCTGGATTTGACAGCCACGCTATGCGAGGCCGGCTTGCGAGATGGAGAGGGCGTGGCTGCGGTTGTGCAGCTTGGCAAACTGGCTGCCTCTGATGCTGCTTTCGCTTGGCATGGCCACGGGGGCGCGGTTGTGACCTGGGGTAATCCGGAGTGGGGCGGAGACAGCAGCCAGGTGCAAGAGAAGCTCAGGAATGTTCAGCACATCCAAGCAACTGGCCGTGCTTTTGCTGCCATCGTTGAATCTGGAGCTGTTGTAACCTGGGGTGATCCAGCATATGGCGGAGACAGCAGCGAGGTACAAGAGCAGCTGGGAAACGTACAGCGCATCCAAGCTGCTGACAGTGCTTTTGCTGCCATTCTGGGCTGCTGTGGCCTGGGGTGATCCAGGTGACGGCGGAGACAGCAGCCAGGTACAGGAGCAGCTGAGGAACATTCAGTGCATCCAAGCACCAGGTGTGGGTGCTTTTGTTGCCATTCTTGAATCTGGCGCTGTCGTGACCTGGGGTGATCCAAAATATGGAGGAGACAGCCGCCAGGTGCAAGAGCAGTTGAGGAACGTCCAGCGGATCCAAGCAACTGGCCGTACTTTTGCTGCCATTCTTGAATCTGGGGCTGTAGTGACCTGGGGTGATCCAGAATGCGGTGGAGACAGCAGCCATGTGCAAGAGCAGCTGTCGAACGTTCTGCACATCCAAGCAACTGCTTGTGGTGCTTTTGCTGCCATTCTTGAATCTGGGGCTGTTGTGAGCTGGGGTTTTGCAGCATGCGGCGGAGACAGCAGCCAGGTGCAAGAGCAGCTAAGGAACGTCCAGCACATCCAAGCGACTAGCCGTGCTTTTGCTGCGATTCTTGAATCTGGGGCTGTTGTGACCTGGGGTGATCCAGGATGCGGTGGAGACAGCAGCCATGTGCAAGAGCAGCTGAGGAACGTCCAGCGCATCCAAGCAACTCGCCGTGCTTTTGCAGCCATTCTTGAATCTGGGGCTGTTGTGACCTGGGGTGATCCAGAATGTGGCGGAGACAGCAGCCAGATGCAAGAGCAGCTGAGGAACGTACACTGCATCCAAAAAACTGACGGTGCTTTTGCTGCCATTCTTGAATCTGGTGCTGCTGTGACCTGGGGTGATCCAGAATATGGAGGAGACAGCAGCCAGGTCCAAGAGCAGCTGAGGAGTGTACACTGCATTCAAGCAACCATGGCTGCTTTTGCTGCCATTCTTGAATCTGGCGCCGTTGTGACCTGGGGTGACCCAGAATACGGAGGAGACAGCAGCCAGGTGCAAGAGCAGCTGAGCTTGTAATTATTCTGACAGCACTAATGTTAGTTGCAAAAAGCGCGCTGAAAGAAGAGAGCAACAGGTGAACTCCACACTTGGGTTCAGCGTCTCTCTTTTTTTTTTGCGGGCACCATATTTTGGCTTGCTAAAGGGAGGTCAAAGGGACATGGGGGGAGTAGAGCGGTGGAGCATCCAACTGGGGGGTGGTCCTGCAAGCGTGTTTCCAACAGAAGGTCACAGAAGGGGCCAGAGGGACCCGTCGGCCGAGGCATGGTGTGCCAACTCTGCGGCTTCCAGGTCCAAGGCGCGCATTGGATCTGGAGCAGACCTAAGCTGAAACACCTTTGGGCGTGCCTCTCTTTTGAGAGGACCCACCAAAATGGCCAAAATGGTGGTGTTTCTTCGGATTTCGATAGAAAAAAGACAAAGGGGTACGAACTCAACAAGAAGCGACCTCTCCTATCTACCCATCACGCGCTTTGTGTCGACCCAGTTGCGCAATCAGAGGCTGTCAGTGACCTGTTGCTTTGGGCATCGTCAACACGAACGGCTGGCAGGTCACCCCTTGCTTGAACAAGTTCCCTGCCTCCAAGAGAAAACATGTTCTCAACCTTGAGGCCTACAGCATAAGGAAACACAGTTTTGCCGCCTTGCGATTTAGGGGTAAGATGTGTGTGTGTGTGTGTGTGTGTGTGTGTGTGTTTGTGTTTGTGTTTGTGTTTGTGTTTGTGTTTGGGTTTGGGTTTGGGTTTGGGTTTGTGTTTGTGTGTTTGTGTGTTTGTGTGTTTGTTTGTTTGTTTGTTTGTTTGTTTGTTTGTTTGTTTGTTTGTTTTTGTTTGTTTGTTTGTTTGTTTGTTTGTTTGTTTGTTTGTTTGTTTGTTTTGTTTTGTTTTGTTTGTTTGTTTGTGTGTGTGTGTTTGTGTGTTTGTGTGTTTGTGTGTTTTGTGTGTGTGTGTTTGTGTAATTGTGTAATTGTGTGTTTGTGTGTTTGTGTGTTTGTTTGTTTGTTTGTTTGTTTGTTTGTTTGTTTGTTTGTTTGTTTGTTTGTGTGTGTGTGTGTGTTTGTGTGTTTGTGTGTGTGTGTGTGTTTGTGTGTTTGTGTGTTTGTGTAATTGTGTGTTTGTGTGTTTGTGTTTGTGTGTGTGTGTGTGTGTTTGTGTGTTTGTGTGTTTGGTTGTTTGTGTGTTTGTGTGTTTGTGTGTTTGCGTGTTTGTGTGTTTGTTTGTTTGTTTGTTTGTTTGTTTGTTTGTTTGTTTGTTTGTTTGTTTGTTTGTTCTTAGGACACCAACCGCTTTTTTTGCGGGGAGGGGGTCCCTAAAAAAGCAAAAACGTTCGGACAGCAAGTGATATTATCCATAGCTGATATCTAAGCGGGCTTGCCCCCTTGCTGATGTTCGCCAGGGAAGGGCAAGCAAGTCGAGCTGCCATTCTGAGCGAGCTGGCGACCTCCGCGTGGTGGGAAGAGCTGCAAAACCCAAATATCGTTCGTGCGCCGGGGATTCCCTTCTTCCAAGCTGGTGAATCAGTATGGTTCATCCAGCTTTGTTTCAGAGGCTCCCGTATCAAGCTCTTCGGCATTTGAAGTTCGGCCGCCGTGCCGGGGCTTCGCAAGTGCTTGCACACCAAGGCAGAGGAATGAAGCCGCGATGCGGATCGCGGCCATTTGGCCCAAGCAAATTTCGTTCTAAGAAACACCGGTCGACCCACGCGGGGCCTTCCGTAAGCTCTACCCCTTCGCGATCTTTTTTTTACCCATGGCGGTCCGGCGGCACTCGGACTGGGCTGGATCCGGCCCCTTTTCTTTCCGTAGCCCGAAGGGACCGGCGCCCTCAGGATGCGGGGTCATTGGTCGAAAATCGGTGATTTGAGTGGACAGGCAACTCACAGACGATCTTAAGACGGATGCGAGTGGCAGGCAGTTCCTTCTACCCATGTGGTCCAGACCACTATTAAAACAATGGGGGTTCATATAACCATTGCCATCATTGTTTAATCCCCACCGCTTTAATGGTCATACAATGGTGGTTGCCATCCTATAAAATGGTGTGGGGGGGTCCTTGCCATATATTCCATGGTTTACCGTTCCTAAGTGGTGGTTGCAAGGGAGCCGTTGCGGGACCTGGTATCCAAGTTTGCTTTTAAATAGGGAGCACTTCAGCTACCGATCGGAGTTCTTGATTCACATAGGTTCGGGACTCCAAATTAGGTCCCAAGGCCGTTCTTGTGGGGGCAAGGAACCCTAGGGTTTGGAGGAGGCTGAGGCACCGAGAAGGCGACCTTTTTGTCCGAGTGCCCTGAAACCTTCCAGTCTCAACACGGGATGCTCGCTGCACTCAACCGGAACAGAACCTTGTTTAAAACCAGTATATAGAAATCTCCACTGTTGGCAATTTGTTGTCGGTTTTTGTTTTTGTTTGGTTCTGTTCATGTTTAGTAGGGGGCTGCAAACAGCATTTGTTCTTTTGCTTCCATACCAAGGGTTGTAAAGCGATTATTTTGGACATCGCATGATACTGACACCGCATGTATCATGCGATGCACATCACAACCATCAGAACTGCAGATCTGTGGGCATGCATCGGATGATCTAGAGTGAACCACAGAATGACAGCCAATGCTGGAACCATGTCAAAACCATTTTAATCAATGGTGCCCTCACTGGAGCCACCGGGGGAAACCAGATGGCTAGATGTCCCGTTGCTGCGATTTTTCAGCCAAGCAAACCCAAGAATCACAGCGAGCCGCTGTTGGCGGCCTTTTTCTGGGCGCACGAAACGAGACCTGGCTGCCGAACATTTGCCAAGGGATCTGGGCCCCCCCTACACCAACCGCTAGGGCAAGGGCACCAGGGGAAGTATGGGCGTGTTGTTTTTGAAGGTGGGCCCATATTTGGGACTCACCTGGGTTAGACGTTCAATGGTCCCCCGGTTCAGTGGACGTGTCCTCTGAACGGGGGCAACACGTGAGCGCCAAACTCTCTCTGTTCAAAGAACATGTCTTCGGTGGCTTTGCGGTTCGTTGGTCCGAATATTATAAAACCAATGGGATCCCATTCTGACATTCTGGGGTAGGTGAATTCACCGCCCATTTCCGAACCTATTTTCGTGGTTGGATTGGTTGATGTTCACTGGGGCTCACCGGGGTTTTGACCCATGGCCACTCTCCGCGAGGTGGGCCTCGGACTGGTCTTCGCCTTCGCCTTGGCGGATGCGGCGCCCGGGAGCTTCAGAGGTCATCAGCTGGCGGTGGATGAGGTTCAGGAGCCACACGTCGAGGGTCTCACAGGGCAAGTGCCACAAATACTACATATATGTACACATACGATATATGCATATATATATATATATGTAAAAAACACCTTCACAATTACTTCTGTTGAGTTTAGTATTCGGCGTTTCGTTGTTTTTGTGGAACCGCACAAAACCACGGCAAACGAAAGGGGACTCTCAAAAAATCTACACTCTTGGGCACAGTTACGTTTATACTCACTTGCTTTTTGTTCATGCATGGGGTTGCAATTCTCTCTTTAGAAGAAGCTCGCACCCGTTGGAATCGGATAGGGGGCTCCGATGCAATTGAAAGGCGCTCGCTTAAACAGGCTACTTTTGCGGCGGGACGCCTGCAAGTGACTCCCGCCTTTCTGTGGTCCCCTTGTTCTCATGTTGTTTTAACACCAAGCCTTAGCCATTGGTTTCTTTTCTTGCTAGTGCCCTGACCAGTTGCACGACCACTTGCGCAGCACACAAATTGCTTCCACAACGATGATGCATTTTGTCTGCGCAGGGTGCCCCGAGATTGGTTAACGCTGTTTGGGAACGCTGTCTTGGGATGCGCGCTCTCCTTGTGGCTGTGTGCAAGTGTTGCAAACGAACTGCGCATGCTGGGTCGGTTGGGTGCACATGTCAGAAAAGCAAAG